TCTCACAAAGTACCTCCAATAGTTCTAGAGACACAATAGGGAAGACTCTCTCCGAAGTGGTGACCCAACTCCCTTGATAAAGGTCTGGGAAGGGTGAACAGAACAAGTCTGAGTGGGAGGTCCTTCATAATTCAGCAATCATTTTGAGTAAAGAAGTTATGGAGCATGGTAGCGTTCGATGCACAAGCACTATCACAAATGGGATTAGTAAGCACTTTTATTTGTAACTAGCTTGGGTGCCTGGTGACGGCCAGGTTATTTGAAAAAGGCATAGCTTATTTTTGGATGCTAGGTAATTTGCTGTTTTTTATTCATTCAGTCACTTCCAACTCTTTGTGACCTCATGGACCAGCCCACGCCAGAGCTCCCTGTCAGCCGTCACCACCCCCAGCTCCTTCAGGGTCAAGCCAGTTACTTCAAGGGTTTGGTAATTTGTAACATTATTTTTTAGAAAAAGAGTCAGTCTTTCTTTTTGTTTTTTATGAATGCTCCCATTAGAAAACGCATAAGGATTTGGGTGAACTACAATTCCCAAAATTGTGGGTCAATCAACTCCAAACTCCACCAGTATTCAAAGTTGGCCATGTTGGGTCTGTGAGCTAAATTTGGTCCTGATAAGTCATATACTGGGTTCAGTGTTCTCTGAATACAGGTGAACTATGACTCCCGAATCTCTAGATCAATCACCACCAAACCCTGCCAGCATTCAAAGCTAGCCATGTTGGGTCTGTGTGGTCCAGATCTGTCGGCGGCTGTCTTCAGAGGGTTCTGTGGATGCAGGGTGAAGTACCTGGGTGGGAGACCAGGTGGGTCAGTCCACTTCAAACCCCTTCAGAATGTTCTGTTGATCATCAGTGTTTGTTTGCCAAATTTTGTTCAGATCCGTTGTCGACTGAGTTCAGTGTTATCTGAATATGGGTGAACTATAACTCCCAGATTCCAAGGTCAATCACCCCCAAGCCCTAATCAAAGTTGGTCATGTTAGGTCTGTGTGCCAAGTTTGGTCCAGATCTATCCTTGGCTGGGTTCAGAGGGCTCTTTGGATGCAGAGTGAATGGCAATTCCCGCCTAGGTGGGTCATTCTAATCCTCCAACCAACCCCCCCTCCCCAACCCCTCCAGTATGTTCTGTTGGTCATAGGAGTTCTGTGTGACAAGTTTGGTCCAGTCCCATTGTTGCTGGGGTGCAGAGTGCTCTTTGATTGTAGGTGAATTATAAATCTGTGCAACTACAACTCCCAAATGTCAAGGTCAGTACCCCCAAAACTCCACCAGTATTCAAATGTGGGCATATTGGGAATGTGTGCCAAGTATAGACCAAATCCATCATTGTTTGGGTTCACAGTACTCTCTGGATGTAGGTGAACTATAACTCCCCTGAACAAATCTTGCCAAGAAAACATTACTTTATGGTCCCCATAAGTCGGAATTAAAAGCACACAACAATTAGAACAGGGAAATGTTTATTTTTTCCCCCTTCATTTTAATTCTTTTCCATACAGAAAATTGTATGGGGTGAAGAAAAGTTTGAGCTCGTGATATACATCCCATTTCAACCTCAATTCATGCTCCAGGTTTGTTACTTATGAAGGACAAAGTGTCAATTTTCCCTTCTGCTATATATAATGGAAGTACGTTTAACCTATGATATGAATCTTATCTGCTCAAAGTTTGTATGGAGACACTTGCTTTCTGTTTGAAATCTCAGAATCCAGAGAATTAGAGAAAACCCAGTATCACTGAAGCTTGTGAGACATATGGTGTGTTGGTGGGTGGTCCTGATGGATCATGCCACTTAGTATATGATCTTACAGCACATGATGGATCATGCTATTTAGCAAATGTTTTGTTTTTTTTTACAGAAAATGAAACAAACATGCATTTCTTTGATTTAGTTTGATTCCAATTATCCGGAACTGCTTGGGGAAATATGACCATTGCCCATCTACCTTCTGTTGCCGTCTTTTCTGTTTTCACACAGGTGACCTTCAGAACCAACAAAAGATGTGGCTCCACAGAGTATTTGACCATGTTTTTAAAGCAGGAACTCTGTATTTCTCAGCTGTGGAACTCCCTCCCGAGTGATATTAGATCAGCCCCCTCCCTCCTAGCCTTCAGAAGGAGAGTAAAGACTTGGCTCTGGGAGCAGGCTTTTGAGAACGAATGCAGTGTAATAACTTTAAAACGGAATAATGTGCAATTGACTACGGAATGTCCTTTGACTCTGATCCATGGATGGCGTGTTTTTAGTATTGGAATTTATTTTATCATGTTTAATTTGTATTAATTTTAATCCAATTTATTTTATGTCAACGTTGTATGTTTTAAGGCACTATGTCAGTACCACTTGTAAGCCGCCTTGAGTCCCCCTTGATGGTAGAGAAAGGTTAGATATAAATAGGGTAAATAAATACATACATACATGCTCCTTGTAAAAGACATGGCTGTGCACAGTATTCTTCCACCCATTTGCCTGTACAATTTGAGGAAATTCACTGTGGGGTGGGAAGCTCTTCCCGTCTTACTCAACAAGTATGGACAGTGTATCTCACATACAAGATGAGTAAAAATGTGCTGATAATGGAACCCTAAGGGTTATGACACAATCAGATGCACCTTTGAACATGTGGAGCATATCTGTCTCTGATGGTTGATACCACACTTCCTACTCTACCTGTTGCATGTGGCTGCTGGCCCAACTTGTAATTTTTTCCCTTGAAGTTTGTCATTTTTTCCATCGAAGCTTGAAAACGCATGTAGCAGGACAAAGATAAATCAAAGACAGAATTCCTCTGAATCTCCTAACTTTATACTGAGTGAGCATTGTCCTGAAGGCAACTTCATATCATCCAGCAATGTGAATCCACGTGTTTGTGAAGGCTATCAGACACAATAGTTCCCAGGGAAAGAGGTATGTTGACGCATGTAAAAGGAAAGTGTATCTGGAAGATAAGCACCTAGAATCATAGAATCATAGAGTTGGAAGAGGCCTCATGGGCCATCCAGGCCAACCCCCTGCCAAGCAGGAAGCAGGAAAATCGCATTCAAAACACCCCCCAACAGATAGACATCCAGCCTCTGTCTAAAAGCCTCCAAAGAAAGAGCCTCCACCACACTCTGGGGCAGAGAGTTCCACTGCTGAACAGCTCTCACCATTAGGAAGTTCTTCCTCTTGTTCAGGTGGAATCTCCTTTCCTGTAGTTTGAAGCCATTGTTCTGTGTCCCAGTCTCCTGGACAGCTGAAAACAAGCTTGCTCCCTCCTCCCTATGATGTCCCCTCACATATTTATACATGGCCATCATGTCTCCTCTCAGCCTTCTCTTCTGCAGACTAAACATGCCCAGCTCTTTAAGCCACTCCTCATAGGGCTTGCTCTCCAGACCCTTGATCATTTTAGTTGCCCACCACTAAACACATTCCAGCTTGTCAAAATCTCTCTTCATTTATGGTGCCCAGAATTGGACACAGTATTCCAGATGTGGTCTAACCAAGGCAGAATAGAGGGGTAGCATGACTTCCCAGGATCTAGACAGAATAGAGGAGTAGCATGACTTCCCTGAATCTAGATACCTCTCCTCCTTAATCTTCACTTGCTACAAAGGTATGTGCTCTACCTCAGTTCTCTGGGGCCTTAAAAATTATCATTTCATTGGTTTGAGCTATGACCCGGATTATTGTACAGAACCTACATGAAACAGACTGGGAATTGAGAGAAGACACTTGGAAACAGCAGAGTAGGAAGCAAGGGATCAAAGTAAGGAAGAAGAGTTTCTTCTTCTTCCCTCTCACCCACTCCCTACTGGTGCAAACTTTTATTGTATAGACAAGATAAGGAACACAGAATAACTATGATGTTCTCATCAGATATAAATGGGATTACAACACATATAAATCATATTAACAGCAACAGTCGCTACAGTAGGCACTCTGATGATATTATGAACAGTCAGAGAGTAGCCAGAGACAAGAGCAAAGCACTCAGGAATGTTGGCAGGCCAGAACGTGTTTATTGCTGTCTATTGATTCTGGCTGATTACACTTTTGGCAATTGGTAGACTAGTTTTCTAGATTTATATCAGGTTTCCCCAAATGAATGTTTTTGCCCTGCATTTTCGTATTTCATTCATGTGCTTATTTCCTCTTATTTCTCTAAATTATCACTTTGTGCTATTCATTCTTTGCTCAAATTCCAGGGAAGTCTGAGGTCCATCTCCCCTAGATATTATTTGAAAAGTGAACAATATTGGAATTTAATAAATAATGATAATAAACTTTATTTATATCCCACCCCCTCTCAAAAAAAGACTTGGGGCGGCTTACAACAAAATTAAATCATAAGCAAAAGCAAAAAGACAGGACATGATATAAAACCAACAGTCATAAGCAGTATCACAAAAACTACACAGTTAAAAAATGTGTACTGGATTTGGCCACAACTGGGACAGGGATAGAGTGGGACTTACGAATTTCATTAAGGATTTTCTCCCCACCTCAAGAAATAACTTGATCATTAGACCACTTTTTACACACCTGTATCAAACACTTTCCCAGTTCAGAAACTCATCAAATATAATAGATTTTTCTCTCATTGACTTATGCCTGTTACTGTTACCCCAGCACAAAATACTATTAATTGAAACAAGACATATTAGCAAAAGGAAACTCACGATACCATAGGCACGAGTGCAACTGAAGCAAAACAACTCCATTAATATAAAGCCTCAAGAGCAGTGAAATTAAAAACAAATTGTATACAAATTTTGTAGCAAAACAAATCAAGCCTTCCTCCCCTGTTCCCTAGAGGCATGTAATCAAAAAATGCTATGCCGAAGAATGACTAGCATAGTCACTATTAGCATGCAACAATCAGTCTATGTTTTGAAAGAAGGGAAGCCATATTACAGTTAACACAATGCATGCCCCCACCTTCAGCAAATATCGAGCAGACCTGGATGTGGGGTAACATAAATTTTAACCAGTAGTTGTGAAATCGACCTTACCTTTTCCTTCAGATCAGCACATATTTCCTGTTGTTTTTTTCTATTATTAGCCAACATAATTTCTGTCTCATGAGCAGCACACGCTTCCGCCAAAGTCATTACTGCCTTCAGTAGAAACGCTTTTTTTGCCTGGATCCAGTTGAACATCAACACCTTCCATTGGCTTTTAGTAAAATGATAGTGGTCCCAAGCCCGTTCATGAGCAACCTAATTTTTTTAAAAAAAACACATAGTTCATTCTTATTGTAAATCAGCATTTGAAACAATCAGAAGCTAAAATTAACATTTGACAGAATTCTGCAATCTAACATATTGTGATCTATGTTATGTAACTTTATGCATACTTAGTTACATAGTTGAAGGTAGTAAGGTCCCATCCAGTTAATTGTGAAGATGTGCATCATGGCACCAGGAAGAGTATGCTTTTGTGCACTGGCCCTGATGTGTATCAGCCCACACCTCCTACCAGCCCATACGAGCCCCGAGATAATCAGGAGAGGCTCTTCTCTCGGTTCCACCACCGTCACAGGTGCAGTTGGTGGGAACAAGAGAAAGGGCCTTTTCAGTGATGGCCCCACAGCTCAAGAATTCCCTTCCTAGAGCTGTGTGATTAGCTCCTTCCCTAATGGCTTTTTGGTTGCAAATTAAAACCTTTTTGCGGGCCCAGGCCTTCCCTAATGACCCTGAATAGACAATGGCCAGGCAGTCCTAGTAATCACACATTATTGGATGTCATTTTAGATCTGGAAATGTTTTAAGGCTTAAAGAAAATGGAGTTCTCTAGGGGCTTAACATAAGTGCTTTATGGACAAACTTCAGTGGCCTGAGGTTTAGAGAATTTTAATGGTTTATACCTTACTTTATTAATTAATTTTAAATATGATATATATGGTGTGTTATTTTGTTTATTTGAAGTATGATATTTCTGTAGTATTTCAGGTTGTTTATTCTTGCTGTTTTAACTTTGTACGCTGATTTCATTCTACCCATGGGAGAAGAGCAGGATAAAAATGTAACAACAACAACAGCAACATTCTGCTATGCATTAATCTTATTTTGTATTGATTCTGATATACATTGATCCTGCTGTGCATCTGTCTTACCGTGCATTGATCCCAATGCACAATGGTCCCAATGCACAAGGTTCACTTTGCTGGTTCACACCACCCCTTTGCTGAATATGGACACCATGAACATGCTCAATTCTATTTCCCACAGATGCAGATCCATTTATGAGGCTCTAAGTGAAGACAAGAGTGAATCCTACTCTCCCAAGAATGTCAAGTGCTTGTACAACTGACTGGTTTTGGCTGAACTGCTTGAACTTGTAACTCCAAAATATTTTTAATAATAAGGTTACATCCATAGTAATATGCTAAAGGAAGAGGAAAAAGTGTTTTCCACTTGGAAAGCTGAGAAGAAAGAAAACTGATTAAACAAAATGATAAAAAATTCCCTTTCCCAACTAAAATCAGAGAAATATTCACTTATTCCACCATCATTTTGTAAAAAGAAAAAGCTGGGGCAAAAATGCAGAAATGACGTAAAGTATATGCAGTTGGTGTTGGGAGCAAGACCGGAATTCTTGAGGTGTTATGTGAATACTTCATCGATTGAAAATGATTTGATACTGTGATGATTTTCTGTGAGCTTGGGGAAGGAGTCAAGACAGAAATCTAAATGAATACCCACAGTGTATATAGGAGTCACCTATAAATATAAGCACAGTGATGTAGCATTCCTTTTGGACCAATGGAGACTTTGTTTTTATGTTTATATCTTTTGATATCATTTAGGTACACACGTTTAAAATGCCAAATGATCATGATGGACATGTATGTATGTAATATCAGAAGATAGTTTAAGAAAAATTCTTAAGCGATGACTGTGATCCAAAGGGCCTCACAAAGAAAATGGCTATAAAGAACTCCTTGCAGATTGCAATGTTCTTCAGTGAATTGCAACATAATTCAGATTGCAACATTTAATGCTGGTCCTGGGAGTCAGATTGATACTGACTGCAATACAAGAAGCTGCGTCCCTTGCATGAAGGCTGAAGAATAAAGGAAGGGAGATAAAGATAAAGACTGATGTCGTGGTGACATTCTTGTAAATACAGTCAACTTCTTAACTTTCTCATGTTTGCTGGCTCTTTGAGCACGGAGCTTGCTGTTGTGTGTGCCTACCCCCACGTGGGGTCCTGCTTTCATCCCAAAAGCCCCTTCCCTTGTTCCTTCTTGGCTGGGTGATGATACCTTTTTGCCTTAATAATTAAGCTTCATATTAAACTGCATCTTCACTTATGGTGCTGGCTAAAGTAACATACACGTGTGTGTTCATTTTGTTTATTTATGTATTTATTTATTTGCAGAATATTTCCATAAAGAGCCATCTAACAAACAGGGAGTACAAATTACCATAATCAGATTCATATGGTGGTGATTGACCATGGGGACAGGAAACGGAGGTAAAATTCTGATGTGCAAACAGAAATCCTCTTGTGTAACGTTGGCTGCAACTCTATATTCATTAAGCCACAAAATACAACTCTGCTCATCATAACATTAAATTGAAATGTTAAGGGGTTGCATTACTTACGATATTTTGCCTAGACTTGTGAGGCAGAAGTTTCTGCAGCATATTCAAGTACAGAGTTCTTCTACCTTTAATAGCTTTTGGGTACTGATTAATGACAACCTGATAAACCCAAAGATCTTCTTTACTCCATTCGAAACTGCTGATCAAGAGAAGAAGAGGGGAAAGATTCTAGTACAATCTTAGCCTCCGGAAGAAAACAGTTTTAAAAATCAGTTTACACGATTACTATCCTAATCCTGCCATGAACTATAATGGTAGAAAAGTTTGGAACAGTAGAGAAACAGTTCAATCTGTATAATGGCTGTTGGGACTAGCATACAGCTTTTTGAATGTAAATTTTGTATAACATTTTAAAGAGCAATGCAATCAATCTGAAAATGTTCTCCCCGCATTCAGTCCAAACAAACCCCTTTGTGTCCTGCAAAAGGCAGTTGTACAAGTTTTCCCTGGGCTAGCTATACAACTGAGTCAATGTGGTGAAGTGTTTTGAGGGTATGCTCTGGAAAGATGGAAAATCAACCAGAGATGGTATCCAGATAGCATGAAAAATTATCAGGGAGAGAAGAGGAAAACAAATTTCCATTATGTTCTTTGGTTTGTTTGGCTTGACTTCTTTGGTTTGTTTGGGCTGTGTCAAAAACAGGTTCCGCGCTGCGATTTTTCAGTTTTTTCCAAAACACAGACTCTTAACAGTGCAGACTGTACAACTGTAAAACCAAAGTAAAAACAAAAACCACAAACCACAAACCAAACAAACCTCTTCACAACCACACTCTCTGAGTACATAGATGCTCAGAGAAGGCCAAGCACTGATATAATAAAGGAAACAGCCCGCAGCCAAACAAAACAAAGAATGCTGGATTCACCAAGGACTCTGGATGCAGAATGCATCCGCTTTTCCCTCCCATTCCAGGAATTATTGTAAGCATGACACCCTTTCCAAGATTCACAGTTTGAAGCAAGGCTGTTACATCATACAAAAGTAAAATAAAATTAATAGCATCAAGAACTTGTTTTGATTCTATACATTAACATTTTGCGATATTCAAATCTACCTTATATTATGGAGCGTTTACAGAACATGAAGGGACTGATAATCTCACCTCTGGCAGTATCTGATACTTAAGAGAAGTCACTTTATTGTTGATAATGGACTTTAAATGTTAAGCTCTTTTGTTTCAGTTCCACACGGCCAAGAAGAACTGCATTGAGATCCACCCCTCACCCCTGGCCAGAACTAGACTGCTGTCAGCGGCAGACCTAATCTGTCTCCCGGAGATAGAAAAAACTTTATTGAAAATGGAGTACAGGTTACTACATGCTATTGTTGTCAGAACTGTAGATGACTTCAAGAAACACAATTTATAGGCTAGGCATTCAAACATTTAGTGTGCTTGTGTCAATTTGATTTGAGGGACACCCTCCATTACACTTCATGTGGGCTATCCTTCATTGGTGGATTGGTCTAAGAGCATTACATAGGAGCCCTTGGTGGCAAAATGGGTTAAACTTTTGTGCCGGTAGGACTGCTGATCGACAGGTTGGCAGTTCGAATCCTGGGAGCAGGGTGAGCTCCCGTATCGGCTTCCTATGCGGGGACATGAGAGAAGCCTCCCACAGGATGGAAAAACATCAAACATCCGGGTGTTCCCTGAGCAATGTACTTGCAGACGGCCAATGCTCTCAAGTCGCTCATGACATGAAAAAAAGCATTACATAACCTATGTTTTTGGTTCACATGAGAACAACTTCGGCCCCAGGGCATTCCATCTCCGTGGCTAATGCTCAACTCTCTACTCCTCCAGGTGTTTTGTAACTGCAATAAGCTGCACTCCTCTCCTACTAACTGTTAATAGCAGTTAGTCATTTTCTAACTCTGCTTTAATTCCTTCTAGGGCTATAATCACAGACTTGGCCATGGTGGTCCATGCTCTCGTTACATCTAAGATAGACTACTGCAACGCACTCTACATGGGGTTGTCTTTGAAGACTGCTCAGAAGCTTCAAATAGTCCAACGAGAGGCAGCCAGGTTAATAACTGGGGCAGCATACAGGGAGCATACAACTCCCATGTTACGCCAGCTCCACTGGCTGCAGGCGAATGCTTCTAGAACATGGCCATATAGCCCGAAAAACCTATAACAACCCAATGATTCCGACCATGAAAGTCTTCAACAATGCATTTTCCAAAAACATATGTCACCTCTCTGCAGACAAAAATTCAGTGTAAGCATGAGTAAGGATTGAGCTCTATGCAGAGATCATACTTACACATGACATTTAAGATGTCATTTCAAAGAACAGTGAGAGGCAGGGTACAAGACTGCCACCCTGCTCATAGCCATGCATAGATTTGTACACAATTCAACGTAACCATAAGTGTGTAAGCAGCTTTTATCACAACTTCATCAGTTTGCTGAAGGAAAGTCATTGTGGTTTTCTAGGAAATCTCCAAAAACACTCCTGTTTCAGTGTCCTTGCTGTTTTCACTGGAAGAAAATCCAAGGATTGGACCAATTCAAAAAAGGTAGCATCCCAATTGCTCTCCTCAGTCCCTCTTCCAAAGAATAAATATTTCAGTTTCAACTTCTGCTCCTTGGAATCATCTTTACAATGGTAGCAGCATTTAGTGTAACTCCCAGCATTCTCTATAGTTGGTTATGCTGGTTAAGGCTGCTGGGAAATGCAGTTCAACAATAACTGGAGGGTCATAAAATTTCCACTACCTCTGCTTTACAGATAACATTTATATGAAACAATTATAGAACGACTCTCCCTTATCTGAAATGCTTGGGATCAGACATCATTAAGACTTCTGATTTTTTTTCTCCAGATTTTGGAATAGCTATATTTGCCTATACATACATACTGAGATGTCCTGGAGATGGGACCCAAGTCTAAATGTAAAATCCATTTATGTTTCACGTAATAACAATAATAATGATACTTTATTTATATTCTGCCCTATCTCCCTGAGGGGACTTGGGGCGAATTCCTGCAAACAAAAAGGCAAATATTCAATGCCTCAATCCAACAACAAATACAAACATAATAACGCAAAATAACCCAACATATAAAAACACATTATAAAATGACACCTAAAGTTAAATAAAACATAACCTATCAGATGAATTATATGTAACCTAAAACAGGAACATCAAACATTCACAATAATTTACAAAGGCCAATGAAGGTTCACTAAAATATTTCAGTTGGTTATGTGGCCAGTGATGTTAACTGGGCTGACAGGATATGTGTATAAGGTATATACACCTTATATACAGAACCTGAAGTTAATATTATACAATATTTTAATATATTTATTCATGAAACAAAGTTTGTGTACACTGAACCATCAGAATTCTAGCAAAGGTGTTACTATCTGAACTACCAAGTCAACAATTTCAGATTTTGGAATATTTAAGATTTCCAGATATGGGATGCTCAACTTGCAAAATGTCCAAAACATGTTCACTCCAAAGTGAATTTTGTTGCATTGCACAGGGCTTATTTTATGTAGCATGATACATAAACATACAAATGTTAAAAAAAAAAAATCAGATTCAATACATTGTAAAAAGAAGCAATTATGAGAGCAGTTATGAAAATAGGAGGGTTGCCAAAACAGTGTACAGGATATATAAACATTTTTTCTGAATAAAAACGGGAGCCTGTTGTTACATTCCTAGGAAAGAAGACACAAAGTGATATTATTTCTGCTTTTTCCTCATTATACAGAGCCCCACAATAAATGTCACACTACAATGACAGCAACAGCAGTATGCATGCATTATGTGGACACTGTGCAGATGATAGGGGACAATTATCCACCTGCTAACTTGCCTCTGCTTGACCCCAACTGCTTTTATCCTCTATAGATCTTTTTGGACACAACATTAAAATATGCCCTTTATGTGCACAAACTTTTGAGTTTATGTCCTCCTCACTAGCTAGAAGGAGACTAAAAGCTTTCACATTCATTTTGAAATGAAGTTTTTCTGTTTCATGTGAACTCAAATAATGCAACCCATCAAAACTGTTGGACTGCAGTCCCAACTGCTGAAGACAACAAAGCCTATGATAAGAAATACTGGGAGTTGCAGTCCAACAACAGTTGCAGTGTTGTATGGTCTTTGACCTCAGTTTATATTAAAGCTCAAATGTAATAAGGATTTTTTGTGTATAAGCTTTCATGGCCAGAATCACTGGGTTCTTGTGAGTTTTCTGTGCTGTATGGTCATGTTCCAGAAGCATTCTCTCCTGATGTTTCACCCACATCTATGGCAGTCATCCTCAGAGGTTGTAAGGTCATTTGGAAACAACGCAAGTGAGGTTTATATTTCTGTGGAATGTCTAGGTGTGAGAAAGAACTCTTGTCTGCTTGAGGCAAGTGTGAATGTTGCAATTGGCCATCTTGATTAGCATTTAATGGCCTTGTAGCTTCAAAGCCTGGCTGGCTGCTGCCTGGGGAGATCCTATGTTGGGAGGTGTTAGGTGGCCCTGACTGATTCTTGTCTGGAATTCCCCCTTTTTTTAGTGTTGCTCTTTATTTACAGTCCTGATTTTAAAGTTTTTAAATACTGGTATTAAAAATATTAATGGCTACAAGTCCATTAAATGTTGACCATTTGAAACATTCACAGTTGCCTCAAACAGAAAAGAGTTATTTGTTTATTTACTATATTTGTATACCGCCTTTCTCAGCCCATAGGCAACAGTTCTTTCTCCCACCCTGGACATTCCAGAGATATATAAACCTCACTTGCCTAGTTTCCAACTGATCTCACAACCGCTGAGGATGCCTGCCATAGACGTGGGTGAAACGTCAATATTAAAATAACATTTGTTTTCCATAAAAAAATAGGTAAAGATTCTTGATTGTGGATTTACCAAGACGATTAAGAAACAAACCATCTTCCCAATGGCACTCATGACACAAGAAAATGGCATATTCTAAAAATGTACATTGACAGGTACATACTTATACCTTATGTTTTTTGCATTGATTTAATGAGTAGAATGCTTCTTCAGATTGGAACAAGCTCCTCTGCCTCAGGTTCTATTCAAGAGAAAATCACATGCTCCTTTCCCTTTCCACCCTTCACAGCTTTTCTCTGTTTGTGAACTTATGACTGCATC